CACCATGTTGGTCAGGCTGGTCTTGAACTCCCGACCTCAGGTGATCCACCCGCCTTGGCCTCCAAAGTGCTTGGATTACAGGCGTGAGCCACCACGCCCAGCTTAAAATGCTGGCATTACAGGCTTGTAGCACCTCGCCTTGCCTGCTCTTCCTTTTCTTTTTTCTTTCTTTCTTTCCTTTTTTTTTTTTTAAGACGGGGTTTCGCCATGTTGGTCAGGCTGGTCTTGAACTCCCAACCTCAGGTGATCCGCCTGCCTTGGCCTCCAAAGTGCTTGGATTACAGGCGTGAGCCACCAAGCCCGGCCTGCAACTCTTCATCCTTAAATCATGTATACAAAAGTTATCATTCTCTCTCTTTTGACTATTTTATAGGTATCATCAGCATTGTTATTTCTTCTTAGGGACCACATCCTTTTGATGTGTCTAATTGAAAAATAGCACTGGGCATAACGGTGAGGAGCACGGGTCTCCCTCCTCCGTGTTATGATTTTCTACCACAGAACCCAAGAAACAAACTGAAAAACTACCAGAACTAACAAGAGAGGTCAATGAGTTCAGCAGGGTGGCAGCTTACAAAATAAATATGTAGATATCAATAGCTTTTTTTAATACCAAAAAATAAATTAAACTATATGATGGAAAACCTCCTCTTCACAATGGCAACTAAAGTAACATATATCTGTGAATAAAGTTACCAAGATATCTGCAAGATCTATATATTAGAAAAAGCCACAAAATTCTGTTGAGGGGTATAAAGGAAGACTTGAAAGATATATCAAGTTCCTGGATGAGAAAATGCGAGTGGATAAAAATATAAATCCGTCCAAGTTAATTTACATTTAATTTTTCCAAACAAATTTCAGTGAGTTGCAGCCTGGCATGGTGGCTTACACCTATAATCCCAGCACTTTGGGAGGCTGAGAGAGAAGGATCACTTAAGGCTAGGGGTTCAAGTTCAGTCTAGGCCACATATTGAGATACTATCTCTTAAAAAAAAATTGCTAGGTGTGGTGGTATGCTCCTGTGCACCTGTAGTAGCACATGCCTGTAGTCCCAACTACTTGGGAGGCTGAGGCAAGAGGATCACTTGAGTCTAGGAGGTCAAGGCTGCAGTGAGCTATGCTCACACTACTACTGCACTCCAGCCTGGGTGACAGAGTGAGTTTCTTTAAAAAAAAAAATTCAATGAGTTATGTTGTATAGGACTCAAAAATTGAATCTAGAGTTCCTCCAGAAGAATAAACTATGAAAATAGAGATGAAATCTGGGAAATAAGAGTGATAAGGGAAGATTTGCCTTCCCAGATGTTTAAATGTATTATAAAGCTTCAATAATCAAATTGTGTTATGATGATGTCCAGAGAAACAGATCAATGAAAAAGATTGGAAAGGCCAGAAAAGACCCAAGATTATCATCTAAGATAAGGTATTGTTTCCTGCCATCGTGCAGTATGCATTATTAAGAAAAGAATGGGTGTGCCCGCGGAGCAGCCGTCATGAGCAAAGCTCACCCTCCCGAGTTGAAAAAATTTATGGACAAGAAGTTATCATTGAAATTAAATGGTGGCAGACATGTCCAAGGAATATTGCAGGCATTTGATCCCTTTATGAATCTTGTGATAGATGAATGTGTGGAGATGGCAACTAGCGGACAACAGAACAATACTGGAATGGTGGTAATACTAGGAGATAGCATCATCATGTTAGAAGCCTTGGAACGAGTATAAATGGCTGTTCAGCGGAGAAACCCATGTCCTCTCTCCATAGGGCCTGTTTTACTATGATGTAAAAATTGGGTCATGTACATTTTCATATTAGACTTTTTGCTAAATAAACTTTTGTAATAGTCAAAAAAAAAAAAAAGAAAATAATGGCGTGACAATAAGATTCTCTTTGGGGGAAAAAGTCAACACCAAATGTTGAAACCATAAAGTCAAGATTGAGAGATTAAATGAAATAAAAGTTAAAATTTTCTATATTCTCTATTCTCTATAAATGAAGGCAAATTGACTGAAAGATTGTCAAAGCTCTTTATTATACGTAAAGAGCTTCTTTTAAAAATCCACAAAAAAGGTCACGAGTGGTGGCTCACACCTATAATCCCAGCACTTTAGGAGACATAGGCAGGTGGATTGCTTGAGCGCAGGAGCCTGAGACCAGCCTGGGCAACATGGCAAAAGCCCATCTCTACCAGAAAAAAAAAGAAAGATAAAAATTAGCTGGGCATGGTCGCACATGCCTGTAGTCCCAACTACTCAGGAAACTGAGAGTCAAAGGTTGCAGTGAGCTGTGGTTGTACCTCTGCACTCCAGCCTGGGCAACAGAGGGAGAGACCTCGTCTCAGAAAAAAAAAAAAAAAAAAAAAATCCCAAAAGTATAAACAATTTATGAGAAAAATTGGTAAAGGGCAAATGTGGGCAGTTTGAAAAACAGAAATACAAATAAGTGGTCATTAAACAGGCAGAAGCAGTAAACTTCACTACTAAGCAAAGAAATGCAAATTAAATACTGACATATTGTTTTTTAAAAATCTATCAGACTGTCAAAGATCAAAGAGAATGATGATATTCAGGGGTGGTTTGTGTGTGGATTTAAATTACTGTTAATTTTCTAGAGAGAAATGTCTTTTAAAAAATCCCCTTTGATCCAGGACTTCCTCTTCTACAGGAAAAATATGAATAAGAACTTTCACAGGATTATTTCACCGCTGGGCACGGTGGCTCACGCCTGTAATCCTAGCACTTTGGGAGGCCGAGGTTGGTGGATCACCTGAGGTCAGGAGTTCAAGACCAGCCTGGCCATCATGGTGAAACCCATCTTTAAAAAAAAAAAAAAAAAGAACTTTCACAGGATTATTGCTTATAACTGAAAAAAAAAAAGCAACTTAAATGTTGAAATGAGGGATTGGCTAGATTAATTATGTATTTTCACATAGTGAAAACCAATTACAAACTCAGATGCTGATCCATATTTATAGTATAGAAAGGCATTTGTTCTATGCTTGTTAATTATAAAAGCAAGCTATAAAACAGTATGCTAAGTATGCTATGTATACAATAAACTTCTGTTTGGGGGGAAAAAGTCACCATCAAATGTTAAAACCATAAAGCCAAGACTGAGAGATTAAATGAAATAAATGTTACAATTTTCTATATTCTGTATTATCTATACAGAATATACAGTGTACTATATGCTTAGTGTACTATGATTCCCTTTTGGGGTGTGTGTGTATTTACAAATATATATATTTATAAATATATTTATATATACATGTATATTTACATAAGAATAAGCTGGGAAAGAGACATATTACTAAGTAGATTCTGGTTGATTTAAATTTTCTCACTTTTGTTTATCTGAATTTTTAATTTCATTCTGTGTTTCTATTTACTTGTATAATAAAAAATCATTTAAAAAGAATAAGGGACTGGGTGCGGTAGCTCATGCCTGCCTGTGATCCCAGCATTTTGGGAGGTTGAGGCATGTGGATCATATGAGGTCAGGAGTTCGAGACCAGCCTGGCCAACATGGTGTAACCCTGTGTTGACAAAAGAGTCAAATTGTAAAATATTTTAAGAGATTTATTCTGAGCCAAATGTGACTGACCATGGACCGTGACACAGCCCTCAGGAGGTCCTGAGAACATGTGCCCAAGGTGGTTGGGGTACAGCTTGGTTTTATATATTTTAGGAAGGCATGAGACATCAATCAAATACTTTTAAGAAATACATTGGTTTGGTTCAGAAAGGCAGGACAACTGAAAGCAGGGGTTGGGGGCTTTGAGGCTGAAGGTAAATTTAAACATTTTCTGGTTGACAATTGGTTGAGTTTATCTGAAGACCTGGGATAAATAGAAAGGAAATGTTCAGGTTAAGATAAAGGATTGTGGAGACCAAGTTTTATTGTGTGGAGGAAGCTCTCAGATAGCAGACTTCAGAAAGAGCAGGTTGTAAAATGTTTCTCATTGGGCCTAAAAGGGTGCTTGGCTCTTTGTTGATTATCTCCTGGATCTGGAAAGGAAGGAAGGAAAACAAAGGGGAAAGGGGATTCTCTATAGAATGTGGATGTTTCCCACAAGAGACTTTGCAGGGCAATTTCAAGGTATGGCAAGGAAATATATTTTGGGGTTAAATATTTTGATTTTCTTCCTTGTTATGCCAGAGTCAGATTGGAAGGTAAGTCACAATATACAGGGTTAAATAAAACCCATCTGAAGAGAATTTATGGTTTGTAGGGTACAACTCCCCAGGCCTCTTAGACAGGAATTTGGGCAAGATGAAAAAAATCAGAGCTAATCCTCACCCATCTCTACCAAAAATACAAAAAATAATTAGCCGGGCATGGTGATGCTGCACCTCTTGTCTCAGCTACTCGGGAGGCTGAAGCAGGAGAATCCCTTGAACCTGGGAGGCGGAGGTTACAGATCTGAGATTGTGCCACTGCACTCCAGCCTGGGTTACAGAGCAAGGCTCTGTCTAAAAGAAAAAAAAAAAGGAAGGACATTTTGATGTGAGAGAAATCTTAGCCCTATTGGCCTCAGACTTTTGGCAAATGGATTAATCTCTGCAGGCCTCAGTTTCCATCTCTTTAGTGAGAGGGGGAGACAGACCTACCCCTCTTGGTTATACCAAAGACTACATACACTCGATTAATGGTAGTTTTATAGCAAGAGACAAACATGTAAAGCAGTTTTTATATCACTGCGGCTTTTACAGATTCTTTTAGGTTGACTCTACATTTATTATTTTTTCTCCTTGGGGATTTAGAGGTGGAGGCTTCAAAGAAACAAGCAGAACTTGATAGAAAGGCAATGGACGAGCTTCTGAGAGAAAGGGACATACTAAATAAGGTGAGTTTGTTATAGTCACACTGGTAAATAGACGTCTTTCCTCAACACTGTAATATCTAGCTATAACCAGTGTATGGTAAAAGAAAAGCTGAGGCAAACAAAAGTGGATTAGAATAAATAATAGTTCTTAATTTTCCTCTAAGCAGCTTCCTATAGTCTACCATTCACTGGCCATGAATTGCAATTGCATTATCACCTGAGAACACAAAAAGATTTTGGAGAATTAGCATATAAGCCAGGAGGGGATTTCAGAGCGTTTTGTGGATTCCGTTTTCATTGCTGGTGTGCTATCTGGCATCCTAAGCAGTTGATCGGCATTTCTGAACTTAGTATCTATAATTGACAAATTTTGCTAATCCAAAAATTACCAGTGAGTGCTAATTGAATTTTAACTCTGAGGTGTTAGGTGTAGGAATGGCAGGTCTAAGCTTTCCTCCGTCTTTTCAGGGTTGTAGCTTTTGGTTTTGTTTTCTGACCTTATCGTGTCTCTCCTAAGGGAGAGATTATGGGAGCTTGAAGGCAGAGACCTGAAGATTCTCCATTAAATATAGGACCCCTTCTTTTTCCTATCCCACTTCCTGAAGGTTTTTTCCATTGACAGTCACTTTCAGGAGATTAACTACTTTCAGGAATTTAGGGTAAATTTTTCTGCTCAAGGATTTCTTCCAGGGAGGAAGATGCCACAGGCCACGTGTGGATGGCTAGGGGCTTGTGGGTGGTGGTGTCAGGCTGCTATAACAGCCTCATGGCTTTCGGCCAAGGCAGTTTCATCTCATCAAAGCAGAAACAGTCTATATTTGTTTATTCTGACTTTCATTATTTCTTTAGGTTTCCTGGAATTGAACAGGTGTTAACAAAATACACTATACTTTAGCCTAAAATAGACTATTCAGGGAATCTCAGGAACTGATAGGAGATTAGATCTTCACATGCTAAGCACTTTTTAAGAAAATCATTAAAGTGTTTTCTTTTTCTTGGAAAATCTTGGAAATTGTTCTTTTATTTTATACATTTGTACATGTAAACAATAATGTTGGATTTAGATTTTTTAAAATTTATATTCAACACACATTTAATCCATTTATATTTTATATGTACTAATAAACAACCAATAGGTTTTCTGCCATGATAAGACATATAGCACAATAGTAATTTTACATTTATTTGTTGATTTGATAAATGTCAATTCTTCCTTTAGGGCAGAGTATACTTTTGTATTTTTTTATTTCCTGGCCTTTGTATTCTTAGTGCCTAGCACAGCACCCGATTCTGCAGGTGTGCAATGAACTTTAATTGATAATACATTCTTTCCCCATTGACTCAATTGAAATGCCACCTTCATCCAAAGAATGAATGACATGGTTTTGACAGGTAGCAACATGAATATATTTTTATTCTTTTAGTGTCATGTGGAAGTGGCATATTTTTTAATAGAACAAATGTTCAACCCAATATCTGAAAAAAAAAGTTGACCTTTTCTGTTTTCCACATTGTCACCCACCCAACATTTAGTGGGCATTTTACCTGTGTATCATCCAGCAGTTTTCAGACCTATCTGCGGTTCTGTGTTGGTTAGAGATTTGACAAGGAACTCTAAAGTGCCTCATGGAACTCAAGGATACAGCTGAGCCTCAGGAACCAGTTGGAAACTGGCCTGGCATTCTTGGGATGAAAGCATCTCTCTCTGCTAGTTGACTTCCTGCTGAATTTTTGCACCATTCTTCTTTCAATGAAGACTGTCTCTCTCTGTTTTCCAGTCCATATGAAAAAAATGGCTGTCACCAATAGCTACCAAGGTTACATCTTCTACTGAGTTGCAAAAATCTAAAGGCTCTATTTCAAAAGTCCTGGGGAAGGATCATTTGATCCATTCACTTGTGGCTAAAGAGGCGAACCCTTTGCATGAGCATGGCTGCCAGATTGCACTGCTACTCACTCTGTGTTTCAGGGGAACTTGGGCAGCCAACTCAAGGTGTTTCCTTTTCAGCATCTGAAATCTCCCGTGCAGCTTAAAAAAAAAATGTAAGTGCCTGGGTCCTATCCGAGGCCCGTTGAATCAGAAACTCGAGTTGGAACATGAGCGTCTACATTAAAAAAAAAAAAAAAAAAAAAAAACAAAAAACTGGGTTAATTTTTAAAATTGTGGTTAAATACATACAACACAAAATTTACCATCAGTGACATTTAGTATATTCACAATGTTGGGCAACCTTCACCACAGTCTAGTTCCAGAACACACTCCTCACCCCCAGAAGAACCCCCGTACCTGTTCAGCAGCCACTCTCTGTTCCCCCCTCCTCCCATCCGGGCAACTACAAATCTGCTTTCCGTTTTTATGGATTTGACTGTTCTGGATATTTATATACATGGGATCATACACTCCGTGAACTCTAGTATCTGGCATGTTTCATTCAGAACAGTGTTTTCAAAGTTCATTCATGTTGTAGTATGCATCAGTACTTAAGTCCTTTTTATGACTGAATGCTGTTCCACTGTGTGCATATACTATATTTTGCCTATCTGTTCATCAGTTGATGAACATCTGGGTTGTATCCATCTTTTGGCTTTTGTGAATCGTTTACTATGAGTACTCATGTACAAGTTTTTGCTCTCATTTCTTTTGAGTATGTATCCAGGAGTGACACTGTTGGGTCATATGTTAATTCTAGCATCTTTATTTTTATTAAGCTGCTTTTTCTCTTCCTTTGTAATCAAAGCCCAAATTATATGATTAGGCTCAGTTGTTCTAACCTCACAAGATACAGGCTAGAGCTAGAGTGGAGGTTAAAGGCATGGACTCTGGGGTTAGCCAGCCATGGATTCAAATCTTTGCTCTGCCACTTCCCCATTGTATGAACTTGTGGGCAAGTAGCTTAACTCTTCAGTCCCAGTTTCCTACCTCTAAAATGGGGCAATATAGTGCCCATTTCTTAGGGACATTGTGGTTGCTTAGTGTATTTATATATGCACTTAAAGTGCCTTGTGCAAAATTAGCATATCAAGCTCTTAATAAGCTGTAGAGAATATGATTATTTTTATTCATCCAAAAGACAAGCTATCTAATTATGTTAGAGATGAGGCAGGGGGTAAGCTTAACCCCAAATCCTCCAAACATTATGAGTATTGTGACTGCTTTGTGTCCTTATTTTTAGAACATGCTTAAGGCGGTCAATGCGACCCAGAAGCAGGTAGACTTGGTAAAGCTCCATGAACAAGCCAAGCGGAACCTGGAGGAAGAAATCCAGAACTACAAGGAGGAGGCTCAGAAGCAGAGAAAGATCATCTTTCATCTAGAAAAGGAGCGTGACCGGTACATCAACCAAGCCAGTGACCTTACCCAAAAGGTAAGCCACTCTGTGATGTGAGTGGAGCAGAGGTGCATTCCTTCCTCCACATTTCTGATTGTCACAAACTGTTGCAAAGATAATTTATTCAGATTTCTGCTTGTAATTTGTGTGAAGATTTGGGAGGAATGACGTGGACGAAATATAAGCTGTTTCCGAGCTGATCCTGGCCACATTGTGAAAAGGGCAGTGTTTATACTTGGTGCTCTCTGATTTCTACTTTCCAGGGCCCTCTTCCAACTTCTGGGTTCTCCCTTTTCCCTATTGCCCTGCTGTGCCGCACCCCTGGGCCGACACCAGGGCTGCCAGCATCATCATCTCTCAACTCTCTAGCCTCTGCACCCACCCACCATCTGTCACTGAAACTTTTGTCTCCTTAGAGGAAGGATTCCAACTTGTTGTTAGGAGAAAAGCATCTAATTAAGTGACCTCAGGTTACGATGTGAGTGACTATTGCATCTGCTAGGTGTGTCATATATTCAAAGAGCATTTTTTAAATTCTGAAACTATTGTCAACTCCTGCAATCCCAGCACTTTGGAAGCTGAGGCAGGAGGACTGCTTGAGGCCGGGAACTCATGAGCAGCCCGGGCAACACAGCCAGACCCTGTCTCTACTAAATAAATAAATAAATAAAAAGGAAAATAACCTATTGTGAGCTGGCCACAATGGCTCACATCTGTAATCCCAGCACTCTGGGAGGCCAAGGGGGTGGATAGCTTGAGCCCAGGAGTTTGAGACTAGCCTGGACAACATGGTGAAACCATGTCTCTACAAAAAAAATTAAAAAATGAGTCGGGCATGGTGGTGCATTCCTATGGTCCCAACTACTTGGAGGGCTGAGGTGGGAGGAATGCTTGAGCCCGGAAGTGGAGGCTGCAGTGAGCTGTGCTTGCAGCACTGTGCTCCAGCCTGGGCCACAGAGTGAGACTCTGTCTCAAAACAAAAAACAAAAACCACTGGAGGGAATCCACACATTGGGGGAGCTAAGTTCTAGATGTCTGCTTCTTATAAACTGCTTAGGAGAGAGAAGACTAAAGGATATATATCTCCAAGAATGGCTTTGGAGACTCGGATTTCATTTTAGCCAGCTGTCTTAGTGCATTGCCTGCATTAAGCATGAGTGGTTAAAACAGTACTCTCTTGAATGCATTCATAGATGGCATGGAGGAGTGGTCTGGGAATGGCATGGGAGGCTGGGAAATGGAGAAAAGTTTTAGTTATGAGGCTGAGAAGAGAGTTTGGGAGAAAAGACTCATTTAATCACCTCTTTTCCCCCTAGCAAGATGTGATCTGTTATGCAAGGTAAGTCCTCTCTTCTATCTCCTCAATGAAATTCAGGTTACATTCTGCAGTGCTTACCAATGCTCCTGCATGCTTACACTTTTTTTTTCTTTAGAGTGAAATCTCAAAGAAGGTGACAAGGGGACAGCCAATATTTGTATTACATAAATACAGAAAGTGGGAAAGAAGCTTTGCTAATAGGAAATCAGCTTCTTCCCTCTTAGACTAAATCAGTGCTGCGGAGACGCTTTCAGAAGGGCTGCTGGAGGAGCACCAGTGCCTTTGCTTTGTCTAGCTCTGCAGGACAGTGATTCCCAAGGGATTCTCACGTCCATGGTTGGGAGCTATTGGAGCAGAGCATATTTCTCTTCTGACTTAACCATCTTAGGAGAGCCACTGATTAGTTTACTGACTCTGAGGACATCGTTGTCAGTTTAGACACTGGCATTCTTGAGCTTGGACTTGCACGATAGCTTCTGTATTCATCAGTTTACACTGCACAAATAACCTTCAAACCTTAGTGGTTTGCAGCAATAAAGATTCATGTTTTGCTCCCATAAACGGCCTTTGCAGGTCAGCTACATCCCTGCTTTATGTCCTCTTCTTTCCAGGCTGACTCTGGTGGGATGCCCTGGCCTCTGGACAAAGGCAGAGGGTGAAATAGTGGACCCTCAGGGTGCTTCTGAGCCTCTGCTGACAAGGGAAGGGCACAGATCCTACCCACTCATATTCCACTGGCTACACAAGTCACAGGGCTGTGCCGGACATCCTGGGCAGGAGTGTGGTCCTCCTTAGGGAGGGGCCCTGTAGGGTAAGGCAGCAAATATATTTGAACATATAATGTCATCTGTTGCAGCTCCAGTTTCTTCTTCCTGATAAGCAATTTCTCTCTGTTTCCAGCTGTCATCATACTACCATCAGAGCTAACTTAAAATTTCCAATGTGGTTTTATTATTACTCTGGTTATAAACCTCTGTCACCTCTCCCTGGGGCAGGGCTTCTGAACACTTTTCACATTACAGCACATGTAAAAAATTACATGTTAATAAGGGTTGGCTCCGTGTCTCTACCCAAATCTCATCTTGAATTGTGATCCCCACATGTCAAGGGAGGGAGGTAATTGGATCGTGGAGTTTTCCCTAAGCTGTTCTTGTGATGTGAGTGAGTTCTCAGTTGAGCTGTTGGTTTCTTAAGTGTTTGGAAGTTCCTCCTTCATTCTTCTCTTTCCTGCTGACTTGTGAACTTACAGTCCACCATGACTGTAAGTTTCCTGAGGCCTCCCCAGCCATGCAGAACTGGGAGTCAATTAAATCTTTTTCCTTTATGAATTACCCAGTCACAGGGAAGTTTTTTACAGCACTATGAAAATGGACTAATACATATGTCAGTGGTACATGTGAATAAGGAGATGAAGCTGTTTGGCGCTGGAGGGGACCAATCCAAGGATGCCAGCTGCCCAGGTCCCGCCTGGCCATCCTGTGGGTAGAGTGAAATCAGTATTTTAGCACACACCTGAAACCCATGCAAGGGACAACAGTTGTGATACTCTGACCTAATGTGATTGATAGAGTCCGAGCTCTTTGTTCTCTGTGGAAAGTTCTTTCCTTTTTCTGCATGGCACATTCCTATTCACCCTTCAAGACCTAACTGAAATGCTCAGGTCAGGCCTCCTCTGATTTGTTATGGGCAGAGCTTGTCGCTTCCTACTTTATGGATTTGTTAATGTCTCTGGAATGATGATTATCTATCTATAGTGTAATTATTTATTTGCATATTTGTTTTATCTATTTTATAGTGAACTCTTGGGGGCAAGGACTTTATTTCATTCATTTCTTTATTTCTAGCATCCTGGCACACGAGAGACACCAAAAAAAGTATTTGTTAAACAAATGGATAGATGATAAGGGGTAAAAAGAATGCTGCTACTGATTTTAATATAGGATTATATATTTTTCTTGGCTTCCTTGTAAAAGAGAGATTCAGATACCAAGTTTTGCTGTTAACTGTTTTTCACAAGTTCTGATATTTAACTACACATTATGTCTCACCTAAATAACTTAAATACAAGTTCTTAAAATATTATTTATCACCTACAATTTTTCTGTGTCTTGCTTAACCCCAACAGAATATATCAGTTGCTACAGCAACTTGTGCCATCTCTGGACTTCTTAAGGAGATGTATGTCTCTTTGTCTGCTCCTCAGATTTCTTTCTTTACTGCCCAACACACACACACACACACACACACACACACACACACACACACCCTCATTCTCGCAAACAAAAGGCTCCCTTATGTGCATTCTATTTATGGGGCATTGAGAAATGATACCAAAGGCTGGGGAAGATGTCATGAAACTGACATTTTCGTTGACTTCTAAAGTGAGTATACATTGTTCCAAGGAAAATTTAAGGAAGAACTGAATCTAAGGAAAAATAAAAAATGGAGAGACTCATATGAAATAATATTTTTAAGGAAAAACTGAATTTAAGGAAAAATAAATGGAGAGATTTATATGAAAGAATATTTTTCAAAACATAATTTATAATAACAAGAACTAGGAATCAGCCCCCAAAAGGTTAAATAAATCATGTTATATTTATTCAACATAGTATTATGTAGCTGTTAAAACCATGTGTTTGCAAATTATTTTTAAAGATAGGAACATGTTTGAAATATGAATCTGAGAAAGACAATGTAAAATTACTTGTAGAATTTGTCTCCAGTTTTGTCTGTGCACACACAAAAAGGATCGACAGCATACCTAATTTGGCTCCTCCAATATCACTAAAGAATGTTAGAAGTTGGAGGTGGACTGGGACTGGGCACGTCACCGTGTTTCCAGCTGTAGATCTGAAAGTGGATCTGCCACCACCCTAAGGTACTAAGAGCTGGGCAAATGTAAACCCCTTCACCTTAGTGGCATTGTTCTTAGGTTGCAGTAAATTCTGTCTTACTCATGAATGGATAAAGAAAAAGCAGCTTAATGAAGCCTATGGGAAAACATGGCTGAGAACCAAAGAAAGAGAATGCCTTCTAGGAGCCCCAGGGTAAGGGTCTGGCTCTGAAAATTCTTCTATGGCAAGATCTTTAGGTTGGACCCTTTGAAATTTTTTTTTTTTTTGTAAATAAAAAACAATTGACTATCAGTGATTTCATAAGGTTCTTAACCTAATAGAATAAAATGCAGAGAAAAGGTTTGGCTTCCTTCAAAGAGTATAAATACGTAAAACCTGGTGCCAAGTTTCCCCTAATGGGAGGAACAGTCTTCATTTAGCAAAATACGTGGATATTTGCCTTGGTTTGAAAGGTGAGGTTCCATGAACCAGAGTGAAACACAGTCACGTGTGAAAAGTAACAGGAAGTGGGAAAGGAGGAGTGGGTGGTGAGCAGGAAATGGGGAGGAGATGGGGGAGAATGGGAGAGGAGGACAGACAATGTCAGCATCAAGGCAGTAGGCTGGGTTCTGCTGGAAGTGAGGAGTTCCCAGAGATAAGACTGACGAAGGAATTGCTGAGAATGGTGATGTCCAATATTTGACTTTAAGTTCCTCACTGTGCTCTGTTCTTCAAACCTCCTGTGACAAATCTGTTGCATCAACCCTGCAGTTGAGGTTGCACTTTGGGTGCACAGGCATGGTGTGATGAGGGTGTGAGGTGACACATCCCAGAAAAAGGACAGTATGTGCAAGAGACAAGATGAACCCAAGAATCTAGAA